TTTTAGGAGGACTTTTTTTTAGCCATTTATATCCCAAATTCCTGAGTAGACATACGTAAAATACCGCTCCCATATTTTTTAGAAATGTTGTCATACCTTTTTTCCAAAAAACACTTCCATAGCTGACAAACAATACAGGTTCTAGTGGCCTCTTTGCAGACATGATTTCTATATTATAAAGGGGAAAGCAGTGTTTGCAGCAGGAGCTTTGAGTGTCCATCCATATAATCCCATGAAGCTGGGAGAGCTGCTAATATAACACACAAAGCTCAACGAAACATCAAGAATTATCTCCCTATACCCAGCCTTCTTTGAACCGAACAGATCAGGAAAAAATATGAGTTCTACTATTGCTTACTTGTGTTAATAAGTGTCATTCATATCTTTGCTTTACTACCTCTGAGTTGCTAAGCTGAAACAAGCATGCAGACACCGGAGTGCCACGATACCTGAAATGCACAAAAATGTTCTGTATCAGTGAAGGAATAATATGGAAGCCAACCCTAAACATTACACTTACAAAAACAAGCCACAAATGGCAGTTGCCCAGTTTCCATCCTGGCAGGTTAGCGGTAGTTATAGTTGTGCCCACCCATACCCAGGGCCACTGTTAGATATCACGGGGCTCCGTACTGCCTACCTGACAGGGCCCCCCCCCACCGCCAGAGAAAATATCAAAACTATATTTATGGTAAATATACACTAAACATGTTATTAATGGACACAATCCTAACAAAATTCCTGTTAAATCTAAAATGATAAAACTGTACTGAGTTAATAAATAAAGCTGTGTGTGTAATTGAGGTCTTGGGGCTCATTCACATGGGTGCTGTGCCCTGTAGAGTGGGAATCAGTGGTTTGTTTTTGTGGCTATCGCCGTTTGCAGGTAACCTATGTTACACAATGGAAATGCTGCAGGTCATAATTTGACAAGCATATGGGTGCAGGTGTATAGCCCAAAACAAAGACAGTGAACATTCAGTGCCACTTCCCCACGCCTTCACACCTGTCAGATTAAAACCTGTGTTCATACAGCTGCTGTGTCCCCACAGTGTAACAGGTGTCTCCAGCCACATGAACAACCCACTCATTCATGCTGTACAGGTTAGAGGACCTGTGTGAATGTGGCATGTTTGACAATTTTTAATTTCAATGGGCTGCCTAACGTGTGAGAACAAGCAAATATACTGCAGGCATATTATTTTAAAAGTGTACAAATAAAAAGTGCGCTAATTATTCACAAAACATGCAAGGATAAATAATAAAAATAAATGAATCCATAAATATAAACATAAGTCCAGCCACCATAATGGTGATAGTCCAATATCAATTTAATGTCAATCTTGAAAACAAACACCCATGTGCAAATCCAACACCAAATGAAATGAATACACTCACCAGAGCTATATGCTGATTATATTATAAACCAGCATGATAGCATTTTGCTCTGGGAGCAATGATCTGCAGGATATCCCAGTAGAGGAACAGCAACCAATAGTGATCCAATCAGCACATATGGAACAGCTAAGGAGCAAATGATCTTCCAATACCATGGGCAAAGCTCGAGGAATAAGAAGAGATATGATGGTGCAGTACGTTTAAAACCAGTGAAATTTTTATTAATAAAGTATAACACTCACAAAGAAGGTGTCCAGCCGACACCAGCAATGACAGCCTCCAAAATGCCACATCCACAAGGGAAAAACCAAGGGACGAACCTCCTGCACCACGATCAACACAGCCGACAGCTGGGAGGAACTTTCCAACATCACATCCACTAGGCCAGGAGTTGGAACGTTCCTCCCAGCTTCTTATTCCTCGAGCTTTGCCCATGTTATTGGAAGATCATTTTCTGCTTAGCTGTTGCATATGTGCTGCTTAGCTGTTCCATATGTGCTGATTGGATTACTATTGGTTGCTGTTCCTCTACTGGGATATCCTGCAGATCATCGCTCCCAGAGCAAAATGCTATCATGCTGGTTTATAATATAATCAGCATATAGCTCTGGTGAGTGTATTCATTTCATTTGGTGTCGGATTTGCACATGGGTGTTTGTTTTCAAGATTGACATTAAGTTGATATTGGACTATCACTATTATGGTGGCTGGACTTATGTTTATTTATGGATTCATTTATTTTTATTATTTATCCTTGCATGTTTTGTGAATAATTAGCGCACTTTTTATTTGTACACTTTTAAAATAATATGCCTGCAGTATATTTGCTTGTTCTCACACATTTTACCTTTTTTGGTTAGAGGTGCTGCTTATTTGATTTATTTAGCATTTTCTGTGGCGCTTCTTATATCTGCTACATATTATTTTTAAAAGTGTGTTGCACCTAACCGCACAGTAGTGTGGTGCCATGTGTTTTGGTGGCTGTGAATGCATCTGTGTTTACTAGTTGTGTGGAGGTGCAATTAAGTATTTTGTGGTACCTGCACACATCTGCAAAGAGCATTGGGTTTCTTTGCTGTGCAGGGAAAATGCGTGCTCTTGCATGTGTTTCTGCACCACAAATGGTGTGAACAAGTCCTAAGGGCCAGTTCACATTATAGAAACACAGTCTAGATGTGTTCTGGATGCATTTTTACATGCACATTTTTGATGCATTTTTAGCGTTTTTGATGTGTTCCAGTTCATTTTTTCCCCTCTCTTTTTCTTCAATTTAATTAGGGATTTGTATGTTCCAGTGCGTTTATGGTGTGTTTTTTATGTGTTTTACCATGTTCCAGTACAGTTCTATGCAGAAAAAATGCAACCTGTTCTACTTTTTTTCTGCACCCAGAACACACTGGAACAGCAAACACTGATGTGAACTATGACATTGACAACCATATAACCTACTTTCTGTGCGTTTTGGATGCAGAAAAAAAAGGAACTGAAACACATGTAGTGTGAACTGGCCCTAAAGGTTATTATAGGTAAGGGAACGGGACTGACCAGGAATTGTGAATTCAATCAGACTAGTGGTGAGATACAATCAGGAATCTTATAATAATTAGAGATCTGAGCTGGAGGTGATAGGAAATGAGACACATTAACAAGATCAGTAAATAGTTACATAAAAAGAGCTGAGCGGTGATACATAGATGTGCAGATGGAACAGGTGATGACAGTGGGGAGGGTGTCAAGTTGTATAAGGAGAGAGATTGGTAGCAGTGAACAGAAAGGGATCAGCAGTCTGGGGGAGAGGAAAGAAACAAAGTTGCAAACAAATGTAAACAGAAGGAAACTTGAAAGTGTGAACCTTGTGGAGCTGAGCAGGAGCGCCTCTAACATCACAACACTGAGCCGCTGTGTGATAGAATGACAGGAGGCTAACAATGGAATTTAGCAGCTGTAGATGGGCTTGTCAGACGCGACCCCCCCCCCCCCCCCCCCCGCAGCTGATGGGGCCAGGCCCCCTACAGGAGGGCTGGGGGTACCCCTTTATCAGTGGCCCTGCCCCTACCACTGCATCATTAAACATTGAAAGCGAAACTATGAGATGCTGAGTAGGAATGGTCACATTTAGATTGGTTTGTACAGCCCTGTTTTTAGGTCTGTTGTTCCTAAGACTGCAGGACCCTGCCCATGTTCCTGTGCAAGAGGACAGGGGGGTGTTCCCAGTAGACCTCTCCTGTTTCTGTTGTCCTGATACAGTAATGTGGTGATAGCAGAGGAACAAAGTAGCAGACAGAAAGGACACTTAGTGCACTTAATTGAGACAAGTAAACTCTATAGAGGGGTATGCTTTGTTCCCATTTTCATGTCTGAGGTTTCCAACCACTTTAATGACTGGTAAGATGCAAATATATTACATTTCTGCTATGAGGTTTAGATATGCTTAATATGTTAACACTTATTAACACTTATTTGCTCCCTAATTCTAAATGTTAAATATACAGTTGAAATATTTTTTTTTTATTTCTGTTTGAAAAAGTACAAACAAAAAAAACCTGTTGACTAATTAGCCCTATTAACTGCTATTTTGGGATTATACTGTAAATATCTGTCTAGGAGAACAGAATAGAAGTGGTTTTCAATAGCTCAGCAAAATAAATCTTGGAGGGCTGACACTACTCTGTCCACATAATTGCTGTGTGTTGTCAGCCCACAACATGAATTAGGAGTGCCATGCTGACAGATCAACAGGTTTTTTTTCTTGTACTAGAGATAGAAGCACCTTCTCTTTTCTTGTAAGTGCAATATGCATGGAAATTTATTAAGACACCAGGAGTAAAACACTTGCTAGAAGGTAATGTAAAATCAACTTGTCATTCCCAATGTTAGACGTCACTCATTCCTCCTGTGGGGGATATAATCCTCTAAGTATGGTGTATTATAGAATTCTTTGATGAGAAATTGAGCTTCAGACTTACTGATGATTTTATCTGTTAGTGCTTGTGTGACTAGTTTTGAGGCCTTGATTATAAACTAGGGTAGAGGGTCAGTGTTCAATCTAATGTACACTATATTGCCAAAAGTATTGGGACGCCTGCTTTTACATGCACATGAACTTTAATGGCATCCCAGTCTTAGTCCGTAGGGTTCAATATTGAGTTAGCCCACCCTTTGCAGCTATAACAGCTTCAACTCTTCTGGGAAGGCTGTCCACAAGGAGTGTGTCCATGGGAATGTTTGACCATTCTTCCAGAAGCGCATTTTTGAGGTTTAGGCATTTCTGATGTCCGACGAGAAGGTCTGGCTCGCAGTCCCTGCTCTAATTCCTCCCAAAGGTGTTCTATTGGGTTGAGGTCAGGACTGTGCAGGCCAGTCAAGTTCCTCCACCCCAAACTCACTCATCCATGTCTTTATGGACCTTGGTTTGTGCACTGGTGTGCAGTCATGTTGGAACAGGAAGGGGCCATCCCCAAACTGTTCCCACAAAGTTAGGAGCGTGAAATTGGCAAAATGTCTTGGTACGCCAACACCTTAAGAGTTCCCTTCACTGGAACTAAGAGGCCAAGCTAAACCCCTGAAAAACAACCCCACACCATAATCCCCCCTCCACCAAACTTTACACTTGGCACAATGCAGTCAAGCAAGTACCATTCTTCTGGCAACTGCCAAACTCAGACACATCTATCAGATTGCCAGAGAAGCATGATTCATCACTCCAGAGAACACATCCCCACTGCTCTAGAATCCAGTGGCGGTATGCTTTACACCACTGCATCCGCTGCTTTGCATGGCACTTGGTGATGTAAGGCTTGGATGCAGCTGCCCAGCCATGGAAGCCTATTCCATGAAGCTCTCTATGCATTTTTGTTCTGCTAATCTGAAAGCCACACAAAGTTTGGAGGTCTATTGACTCTGCAGACAGTTGGGGGTTTATTTACTAAAGCTGGAGAGTCCAAAATCAGACTCCCTTCTGCATAGAAACCGATCAGCTTCTAACCTCAGCTTGTTCAATGAAGCTTTGGCAATGAAACCTGGAAGCTGATTGGTTTCTATGCAGAAGGGAGTCTGATTTTGGACTCTCCAGCTTTAGTAAATAAACCCCTTGGTGACTTCTGTGCGCTTCAGCATGCGCTGACCCTGCTCTGTCATTTTACGTGGCCTACCACTTTGTGGCTGAGTTGCTGTTGTTCCCAGTTGCTTCCAATTTGTTATAATACCACTAACAGTTGACCGTGGAATATTTAGTAGCAAGGAAATTTCACTGATGGACTTATTGCACTGGTGGCAACCTTTCACAGTACCACGCTTGATTTCACTGAGCTCCTGAGAGCGACCCATTCTTTCACAAATGTTTGTAGAAGCAGTCTGCATGTCTAGGTGCTTGATTTTATACACCTGTGACCACCATGGAGGTGATTGAAACACTGGCATCCAATGATTTGGGGGGGTTGTCCCAATACTTTTGGCAATATAGTGTATGTCTGATCATCAGAAAGTAGTCTGAGTGCTTCTGATATGTAGTCTATACGATCTTGTAACGACAATTCACCTCCTTTTATCCACTGGATTAATCTAGAGCTTGTCCTTTGGACCAAGTCAAATTGACCTCTGGCCTTTTGTGCAGACTAACACGTTCAAAAGATCAGAATAGACTATTCGGTAGGTTTCTATATAGGGACCTTTAGCTTGGATGGGATAAAAAATAGACTTGGTTTTAAATGACATCTATTTCATAGGAAGTGAAGTATGTAAGTTTTGTATACAGTGAGGAACAGAAGTATTTGAACACCCTGTGATTTTGCAAGTTCTCCCACTTAGAAATCATGGAGGGGTCTGAAATTCACATGGTAGGTGCATTCCCACTCTGAGAGACAGAATTAAAAAAAAAAAAAAGGAAATCACATTATATGATTTTTAAAGAATTTATTTGTCTTGCACTGCTGAACATAAGTATTTGAACACCTAAGAAACAGCAAGAATTATGGCTCTAAAAGACCTGTTACTGTGCCTTTAAAAAGTCCACCTCTACTCCACTCATTAATCTAACTTAGTAGCACCTGTCTGAGCTCTTTAAAGACACCTGTCCACCCCACAGTCAGTCAGATGCCAACTACTACCATGGGCAAGACCAAAGAGCTGTCAAAAGACACCAGAGACAAAATTGTGGACCTCCACAAGGCTGGAAAGGGCTACGGGGCAATTGCCAAGCAGCTTGGTGAAAATAGACCAACTGTTGGAGCAATTGTTAGAAAATAGAAGAGGCTAAAAACGACTGTCAGTCTCCCTCGGACTGGGGCTCCATGCAAGATCTCACCTCATGAGGTATCACTGATAAGAAAGGTGAGGAATCAGCCCAGAACTACACGGGAGGAGCTGGTCAATGACATGAAGAGAGCTGGGACCACAGTTTCAAAGGTCACTGTTGGTAGAACACTACGCCGTCACAGTTTCAAATAATGCATTGCACGGAAGGTTCCCCTGCTCAAGTCATCACATGTCCAGGCCCGTCTGAAGTTTGCCAATGACCATCTGGATGATCCAAAGGAGGCATGGGAGAAAGTCATGTGGTCAGATGAGACCAAAGTAGAAGTTTTTGGTCTAAACTTCACTCGTGTTTGGAGGAAAAAGAAGGATGAGTTGCATCTCAAGAACACCATCCCTACTGTGAAGCATGGGGGTGGTAACATCATGCTTTGGGGGTGCTTTTCTGCGAAGGGGACAGGACGACTGCACTGTAGTAAGGAGAGGATGAATGGGACCATTTATTGTGAGATTTTGAGCAAGAACCTCCTTCCCTCAGTCAGAGCATTGAAGATGGGTCGTGGCTGGGTCTTCCAACATGACAACAACCCAAAGTACACAGCCAAGATAACCAAGGAGTGGCTCTAGGTTCTGGAGTGGCCTGGCCAGTCTCCAGACCTAAATCCAATAGAACATCTTTGGAGGGAGCAGAAACTCCTTGTTGCTCAGCGACAGCCCCGAAAACCTGACAGATCTAGAGGAGATCTGTGTGGAGGAGTGGGCCAAAATCCCTGTTGCAGTGTGTGCAACCCTGGTCAAGAACTACAGGAAACGTTTGACCCCTGTAATTGCAAACAAAGGCTTCTGTACCAAATATTAACACTGATTTTCTCAGGTGTTCAAATACTTATGTTCAGCAGTGTAAGACAAATAAATTCTTTAAAAATCATACAATGTGATTTCCTGAATTTTTTTTAAAATTATGTCTCTCAGAGTGGGAATGCACCTACAATGTGAATTTCAGACCCCTCCATGATTTCTAAGTGGGAGAACTTGCAAAATCGCAGGGTGTTCAAATACTTCTGTTCCTCACTGTATATAGAGCCATGTCAAGATTCTGATGACCTGAATTAATACTGTGGAGACTTTCTGGATCTTCATGATATACAGTACGGCCAGACATATGGAATCATCTGTGCTGTTATTACCAGTGATATGAACAGGAGTGTTATCAACTATATTTTTTTTATTTTTATTTGATTGGATGTTGTAGAATCTGTTTAAGGTGAGGCGGCGGATGAATCTATTAAGATGTTTAAATAGGAGAAAGGGGTTGGGTTGGGTGGTGAGGGTAATGTGAAGGCCATGATTTAATAAGCTAATTTCTTGGGCTGAGCAGATAAGTTGTAAATTGTTTTCCTGGTGCCCATATGGCACCATACCTGTGATAGAGCTCTGCCTCTTAACCACTCCCTCAGAACCAGTGAATAGCATAAAAAAGGAATAGACTAGGCCCCCCGCATTCCTTTTTTCTCATACCTCCACGTACCACTGAAAAAAAGCATTATTTTTCCCCAACCTCTGCCTCAGAGCAGTATCCATCTGGGTTCAGTCTCTCCCAGTACGTGATCCTGGTGCTCGGGCTCCTAAATAGCCTGGGAGCTGCTTCTGTGGGTCTTGATGGGGCCTGCAGTGTTTCCTCATTAGTAACAAAATCTGCCTATTGAATTTAGTGTCTGCGGTGTTTGGGAGGTATGGGAGGCCAGTCTCATGCTGGTTTTCCCCTTTATCTTTCTTCTCTGCCATACAGATCAGTTAGCTTTCCTACCTTTAGAATTTCCTTTACTTCTCCTGTTTGGTCTGTATCTTTACTGTCTTGCAGCACTTCTCTGCTGCTTTTCTGTCTGTTGCCCGGCCTTCCTTTGGGAGAGAAGGGTGGCTGATTGGCCCTTTGCAGGCTGGGGCGATGTTGATGACATCACTAGGCCCTGCCCATTCACACATGTGCACTATGGGGCGGAAGTGGCAGACGCCATCTTTGCTGTGGGAAAAGTTGTCCACAATCACTGAGGGATGGAGGAGAAGCCCTGGGAGACAAGGGTTTTTGCACCTGTGGTTTTTAAAAGCCCATTAGTGGCTTTCTCTTGCTGGGTGAGGTTTGGATGTGTTGGCATCAGCCACTAAGACTTTTTACTGTTGGCTCTTGCTGCAGTGGATTTCCTTTCTCTGCAGGTTGTTCCCTCTGGCACTCCCTCTCTGTAAGTTATGCAAGGGCATCCCAAAACAAAATAAGAATAGAGGGAAATAGAACATATATAATAATGAGGAGTATATAGGAGCAAATATTTTTATTGTTTTAAGATTTGTTTCTATTCCTGATTCTTTCTTGTCACTATTGTTTTTTTCCAACTGGCCACCTTGTTGTCTCCTCAAGCCATGAGTCTGTTTCTGCTTATGCAAAAAGATCCTCTGGAGAGTCTGGATGCAAAACAGCGAATCAGAATTAAAGGAAGGCATCCCTAGGGTGGATATCATCCAGGCTATAGACAAACTAAAAGTATCGGCAGACTTTACTGGGCAAGCGGCAATAGATTCTATTAAATGCTCAGCCAGGGCAATGCTTCACTCTAAAAGGACACTATGGCTAAAGTCAAAACATCCCTTAAATAAAAGAAAGCACTGGGCTGCCAATAACGCCCTTGAAACAAAACTGGTGCAAGATGAAGTTGTTGTTTGGCATTAAAGTAGACATGGCCTCATCAAGGGTAACAGGAGGAAAATCTGGTCAGCTCCCACAGGACAGAAAGTGGATGGTCAAGGTTCTTCCCTAATAGATTTCATTCAGCTGCCGCCGTCAATCAAGTTCAAATAGAGGTTAGAAAGGTACGCAGGCTACCTTTTCGAAGGTCTACAAGCAAAAATCCTTGAGTGTGCCTCAGGAGCCGACTAAGCCCTTTTGACGGTTCACATCTCCAAACTCTAGAGGTGGGGGCCTGATTGACATGCTTTGCGGACCTCTGGACAGCCAATTGTATGGATTCTTGGGTAAAGGCAACAGTCACTCACAGTCATTTTTAGAGATTCCTGCGTGCTCCTCCAGACCATTTCTCTCCCACCAAACTTCTGGATTCTGCGCAGAAGAAGGCAATTCTGCAGCAACACATACAGACACTGCAGGCCCAGAGGGCAGTGGTACCAGTTCCTTGCACTGAAAAATACGGAGGCTTCTATTCAACCCTGTTTATGGTTCGCAAGAAGAACGGAGGTTGGTGGCCAATTATAGATCTAAAAAGTTAAATCAATTCATCTACCTGGAGAAGTTCAAGATGGAGTCTATCTAGGCTATAGTTCAGACGGTACAACCAGGCAACGATGTTGTCACTAGATCTCCAGGATGCTTACTTACACATCCCAATTCTCCTGTCCTTCCAAAAATACTTAAGGTTTGCAGTTGGACAGATGCGCTTACAATTCAGAAACCTACCATTCGGCCTGTGCTAGCCCCTCTCAGGGAACAGGGACTCCGGGTTCACCACTACCTGGATTTTATAAGGATCTCTCTGTGAGCCATGAGTTGTTCCTGGTTAGAAGAAGAATAAACACCCTACAGAAATATGGCTGGATCATCAATTTGAAGAAGAGCCAACTCTCTCCAACCCAACAGTTGCTATATCTGGGGGCACTGTTCAAGGCCGCCAACTCCTCAGTGTCACTTCCACTAGAGAAGAGAGTCATGCTCAGAAAGCGAATTCTAAAAGCAGCAGCTTCTGCATAAATGTCAGCCTCCCAGTGCCTCAGCCTATTGGGCACAATGTCGGAATGGATACCAATGCTACCTTGGGTGCACTGGCATCTTTGGCAGTTTAAAGTAGGGTTGTTAGCTCAGTGGAAGAAGCAAAATCTGAGTCAGATATGAAGAGGAGTCTGTGCTGGTGGGTGAAGAGAGAAATCCCGGAAGGACCCTTCCCCTTAGGTCCTTTGAACTGGGTCACTGTTACTTCAGATGCCAGCAAGAAGGGGTGGGGGGCCCACTGCAAGGGATTGGCAGTTCAGGGATGATGGAGGTTCCCAGCAAGAGGTGTAATCTCAAATGTGTTGGAGGTTTCAGCGGTTTTTTTTTCAGCACTATTGGCCCTGCACCACAAGATCAGGGCAAATATCTCCCGGCAAAACTGAATACACAGGCGGAGAAGCTTTCAGGCAGCTTTCTGGACCACGAGTGGGCTCTACACCCCCAGATCTTTGCTC